ATACAAAAATGAAAATTTGTGAATTGGCAAAGAAGTTTGATCTACCGGAATTGTCGGTCAGAACAATTATAAAAGGCAAAGAAAAAATTCTCGAAGCTGTGAAAAATGCTCAATCTTTAAATTCAAGCATCATTCGTAAACGTCACGGTATTATCGCTGAGATGGAAACAATGTTAAAATTATGGTGTGATAATCAAGTTAATGTGAAAAATTGTATAATAATATAATTTGTTATACGTATGTATTATCTAAGATTTTATTAAACATTTTTTTTTCTAAATTATTGTTTTCTTTAGTCTCCGGACCCAATTAAAAGTAATTTGTATGTATTTATATGCAAAATTATACCCCGACTTACGCGAATTCGATTTACGCGGTTATCGCTCGTTCCCACCTATCGCGTAAGTCCGGGGTATGACTGTACATATAAATTGAAAAATTATAAATTAATTCTTTAAAAATCCAAGTATAATTTTACACGTACAGCACCTGATTCCTGTGTTTTATATTCATTGTTATAAAGTTCCAACAGTGTGAACTAATGAAAGCAACTCTATAAAATTTAAAATTTGGTTATAGACGATGCACACATTTACTTCTTGTACAGTACCAAATTATTTACATTTATAAAAGTTCATAAATAATTTATCCGAGAAACGATTTTATAAATCACACATAATTGTCCTTAATTTAATTATGTATTGGATAGCAATATTATTCAGAAATTTAAATTCTAAAGTTAACGGATAAATACAATTGTTAACTACATTGTAGTTTATAAATTAAGAGTTTTCTGTTTATGCTATCACGTTAAGAAAAGCGATATTATCGTTTATTTATTATTAAATTAATTAAGTAACATTGAATATCAATTAACGAAAATTACAGAAAACAAAATACAATTGGACAATTGTTTAGCAAAATTCTAATAGTCTGTAGATCATACCAACTGAAGAAATTAAATAAATGTATAATTGTAATTTTGTAATAACATATAAATAGAAGTGCAGAACATCGTACTACGCTGTTTTCGGAAAAAATTTATTTTAAAATTATAAAAATGTATTAACTACATTATTTTAAAATTTTAATCACATTGAAGACAATTTATATAAATAATAGAGACACTTCAAGCAAATGTGAAATTAGTTTTCACAACTAAACTTTATCGCATCTCCTTTCAGATTGTTGACTAAAACGAGATAAATTTTTCTCAAACTTAAAAAACGTTGAACACAATTTGAATTTAATTAAAACAGTTCAAAAAGTGGTGAACCTATCTCATAAACCCCCTAACAAAAACACTTTCTGTTTTTCATTTATAATTGTAAATTCTGCTTTCCAGAGTGAATGCAAAATAATGTTAAATTATGATTGACACGATAAAATAAATTAGAGTTCTAGCCTGTTGCAAAAACAATTTTTATCCATCATTTTTTATGTATCATTTTCGGCTAACTTCGTAGCCATCCTCAGGATCAAACATTCATTTTATAAAATTCGTTTAAACAAAATTTAAAAGAATTGTATTACGTAACTGTTAGTTTTGAGTATGAGTACTAAGTTAGCCCGAAACGTCACATAAATAAATTTTAAAAAATCTAGAAACAAATTGCTTAACTTTTTCTGAAACATTTAAAAATTTGATGGGATCGTCATCTGTAATGATATTTTATTGATATATTAAAAATTTTAGATTTGTGATTATTGTAAAATGGCAAAAACCGTGATTTTAAGAGTAAAAATGAGTTTTATAAAAAGTTGCAAATGCGAAAACATCATTTTTCAATTAATTATATAATTATCAATACAAACGTAATAATGAGTGACATCTGCTATATCTCCGAATGTATTATGTCATATATCTACCACCCATAAATGCTAGATTGTGTGCCCCCATTTCACTTTTGTGTAATATCCTGATCATCATCGCTGTGAGTTATTTCAATTTTTATGGCATTATTAGAGTTACAGTCACACGGATGGCTTTCCGCATACCCGAATTCTTACTTAAAGACATCATACTGTAGCACGAAACAACTAAAACATTAATCAGTAATACACGCCGATCTCTTGTGGCCAAGATAATTCAAGAGATTTGTTTCATCTTTCACTCTGTATTTCGACAAAC